GCCTAGACACCACTGATCTACTGTAGCTCAGAACCTGTCCTGAGAGACAGAAAAACCTTTATTTCTATTTTCAGGAGGAAAATAGTGTCACTTTAGAGGGAGCTGCTAAATGACATCTTCACTCTGCAGCATCCCCAGCTGAACGTGCCGCAGAGCAGTTCTCTGTCACTCCAAGCTGCTCGTGAGGAACTGGTGTGCTGGTGCACAGACCTGATCATGGCACTTTGGGAAATTAGGGAATTACAAGAATTTGCCTTAGTCTTTAATCAGAGAAGAAAACAATCCATGGGACAGATACCCAGTTGTGGTCACTCGCCATGGCCTTATGGGCTTCAGCTGAACAACTTTATGTATCAGCAGCAAGGTCTGGCCTGTGAAGGAAGGTGGAAGGAAGAAGCCACAGTCACAGGAAAAAACAGTGTTTATTCAGAACTTCTCTGTGTTCTTGGATCAATGTGAAAGGGTGTTATACTATTCAGAGATGTGAAAATGTGTTCTTGACCCACAAATCAAATCTCCCCTCAGCCACTGTGATGGTGTTTCAGTCTTGATGGAGCACTCACAGAAATATGCAAAGCAGAATCACTGCTGCCCATTCAAAGCTTCCCTAAAATCAAATGTATTTTTCAGCCACAAGCCCTATTAGACATTTGGCAGGGGTTAGACACATGTCATGATTAGAGGTGATCTACTGGAAGGTGTCCCTGTTCCTCTCAGGGAAGCTGGTCTAGATGATCTTTAAGGTCCCTTCCAACCCAAACCATTCTATGGTTCTTTGGACTGGGATTTTGAGGCAAGGTTTTGGAAGCTGGGGGACTACAGGGTTTCTTCTGTGAGAAGTTGCTGGAAGCTGCCCCTATATCTGACCCCAAATTAGAACACGGGAAAGGTGTGAGAAGTCCTCCCCCTGAGGAAGAAGGAGCAGTAGAGATGAGTGATGAACTGGCTGCAGCCCCTCTTCCCTGTCCCCTTGTGCTGCTAAGGGATAGGAGGAGGAGAAATGGGGGTGAAGTTGAGCCCAGGAGGAAGAGAGGGATGGGAGGAAGGTGTTTTAAGGCATGCTTTTCATTTCTCATTATGCTACTCTGTTATTTTTGGTAATAAATTAATCTGATTTTCTCATATCGAGTCTGCTCTGCCCATGATGGTAATGGGTGAGTGATCTCTCTCTGTCCTTATCTCAGCCCATGAACCTTGTGTTGTATTTTCTTTCCCCTGTCAAGCTGAGGATGGGAGTGTTAGGGTGCCTTTGGTGGGCACCTGGCATCCAAGCAGAATCAACCCACCGTGACTCATCAGACTTTATCGAGAGGAAAATTTCACTGGCAGTGAGAGACAAACCAGACCCCCAGAAAGTTTTAGTCATCCATGGAGCTAAAGAAAAGGTCCTGCAGCTCTTGATCTAATTGAGCTTAAGCTCTGCAGCAGAGAGATTGGAAATTTCTGGAACCTTTATTTTAATGGGATCTCTTCGGGCGATCCAGTGCTCTCTTGTGGGACCAAAGCTGGGTCCTGGAAATCCTCTCTGGAACAATGGATATGTTGTCTGAGCCATCTGGTCTGAGGCCCATCACAGTCTCAATTCTGCCATGAAGCAGTTTCCAAAAGTGTGGTGCCAGAGAAGGACAGAACTGGGAACACAACCACCAGCTATAGAAACACTCGTTCTTCAGCAGCAAGGACCATGAGATGCAAGCCCAGGTTTGCTAGTGCCTTATTTTAATCACTCTGCAAACATTTTTTTCTTTCCCATGCTTCACCATCTTGAAACCTTTGATTCTGTTTCACCCACAAATACGCTGTAAAGTTTATGTTTGGGGTTTTTTTAAGGAGCCTTTTACAATTTAGAAATCCTCTGTTTTCAGCTGAGGCAGATGTAGACTAACCCAACCACTAATGGCTAAAACATTATATTGGTTTTTTGCACTCATTTGAGTGTCTCTAGCTGGTATTTCTCATTGTACAGTTCATTTTATAACAGGACTACCCTTCAGCATATTTGTGTACAGGGCTAACCACAAAAGGGCCCTGTTCCATAATTGTGTTGAGGTAATACCCAAGGCTCTCAGCAAGAATAATAATAAATGACATGACACAACTGTGCTGAGTCATACCTTTTTAAGGCCCAGCTCTTTTTGGGGGACACAAGAGCATAGATAAAAGCAGCCACAGGCAGCAAAGAGCCCCTTCTGAACAGCTCCTGGTAACTCATTCAAGTCAGTGGTCATAAACAACAATAGCACAGCTGTTAGATAAATGGGATGCTTACAACTGCACACAGAAAACCTAAAAATTTCAGCAACAAACCCATTAGCTTTTACTACATGAGTGGTACAGGACCTGCTGTTTCAGTAGTGTTCTGCTGGGTCACATAAAACCTGTCGAGAAAACACAGAGAAGTCTGGCACCCATCCATTCCTCCATCTGTCTGAGGGCAGCTGGGAAACTGCCCCAGCCTGTCCCCAGGCTCGGGGATTCTCTCATGTGGCAGCCACTGCCAGAGTATCAGAACTGTCACCAACATGTTCACAAGCCTCAGTTTGCAGTAAATGCCCTTTATCATCTCTCCTCAACACTTAAAATAAAAGCTCTATTTTTTTGCAGCTGTTCCAATCATCCCTGCTCCTGGGATGTACATTTTCAAAACAGCGAAATCAGCACCACTTGTGGATCATCTCACCAGCCTATGACCATATCCAGCACAATTCTCTTCATCAGAAATTTTAAAACTAATTTCTACCACATCCTATTCACATCTGTAACCCATGGCTCCATGCACAACAGCAGAGAGCACATTCTGAAATATTCATGATGTATTTTAAAGGGACAAGAGTAGGGATGAATAAGAACACAAGGCAAAGACATCATGAGCCAGGGTCTGTTGTTTTGTTTCTTAAGGGATTTTGGGGTAAGTGTTTTTAATTTTTTTCCCTGCACTAGGTAGTCTTCCTAATTTGTTATGACTCTAAAAGAACAATAACCTAGGATGAAGGAATTAGATTAAGTCCTTCCACTTAGTTAATTTCCATGATCTAATATTTCCCTCATGTTCCAACATAACACTGTGCTCTGCTGACGACATCAGGGCTGAGGAAGTCTCTTAGAAGTCAGATTCAATTCAAGGGCAAGGCAGAGCAGAGACCACTTAGTTCCCCGGACAAAGTGTTCTTGGTTTAGTGTGCTTGTAGGGAGCCAGAAGCTGTAATGACAATGCTTAAGAAACCAAGTCCCCTTGGATGTAGAAGATCAATAATGTTCTCAACAGAGCTGAAAACAATTCAGAACACAGTGTCTCACCAACTTGTGCTGTAATGTTTTACTATAGTTTCTGTGGGTCTCATTTTTGACAATATCTTGAAACAGCAATCAATACTTGCCCATGGTATGCCTCCCCTCCCATTTATTCTATTTTCCAGCCAATGGCAACAACAATTATTTAAGGAAAACGAAACATTGATATGTTGCTATGTTGCTAACGCTGAGTATTTACTGTATGCGTAACAAGGAGTAAGACCCTTCCATGCTGGATACTACAGAAGAAAAGATCTCCAGATACCCATGCTGGAGCATCTGAGGAAATTCTGCATGAAATAAACAGCAATGGAAAATCACCAGTGGGTTTCCTACCCCTTCATCCAGCAAATAAAAATGTTACCACAAAGACTGTAGACACTAAAAAGGAATGGACTATCAAGGGGGCTGAGCTTGTATGTAGGAAGGAAGAGAAGGAATTATTTTAACAATGTGGGGATAAGGGCTTTGTGGCAGTAAAGTGAAAAAAAAAAGTTTGGTTTGTGGGACTGATTCCTGGTATGTGCTACTTTTGTTTTTCTATTGGCCTGTATTTTACGCTTGCCAGGAATGTCAAAGTGTGATATGGAAGATTTTGGTTTATGTCCATATATTATGAAGGAAGTAAAGCAAAGTGATCTATCAATCCAGTAGTTGGTGTTTAATCTCCTTCCTTCCTTAGGCCTACTTCTCCTGCTCTTCCAAGAGGATGGGAACTGTCTCACTCCCGGGAAGCAAAACAAACCCTCGACTTCAGAAACAGAAAGTCTTATTGAGCCTTTGGGAAATGCTCTGAACAATGCTGTCCATCTCCTTCTGTGGCAAAATATTGCAGCAGAGACAGTGCTGGTGGAAATGAGTGGCAGAGGAATATTGCAAAATACATGTGACTCTCGAGCCCAGTATGAGTGTCTGAGGGAGATGAACACAGGGACACCCTGGGGAAAGCACTACAAACTGCTGGATGTGATGGCATTGCTGAATACTGAGCAGCAGCAAGAACAAGGCACACGCAGCATGAGGAAAACAAATGTATCACCTGAAATAATTCAGCCAAGTTATACATTCAGTGCTTTTACATAAATGAGAGACATGAGTGAGGAGCGATGTTATTCCCTGTGCTCAGAACCAGCTCAAGTTTTTGGTTTCCAGATCCTTGTTCACAGAGTAGCCAAAAGAACTTTCTTGTAAGCAAACTCTGGACGTTGCCCATGCTTGATTTCTTGGCCCCAGGTTTCCCATCTCAGTACAACTGTACCAGCAGGAGCAGCACTGGCAGAGTGGGCATGGAAAAGGCCCCTGGGATGGTGACACCCTCACCAAACCACCACTTCCATCTGCTGGGAACAGGACAAGGCACCTCCATTGCCACGTCCTCACTGACAGCCCTCAGCAGTCACAGCCTGTGGGATTTCCTCTGGTTTGTGATCTGATCTCCAGCCCACAGCCAAACTGAACCATCAGGGTACAGGTAAGGGAAGGAAAAGTGCTCTTTTTGTTCCTTTGCATCACTCCTTCTTCCCACCTCCCTGCCTCCCCCCTCACCTGCAGCAATCCAAAGCTGCAGGAGTAGAATCACAAGTTAAAGAGCAAAAAATAGGGAAAATGGAAAAAGCTTGTCATAAAAAGGGGTTACTCATACCATCATGAGGAAGCAGGATGATTATACACACTTTACACAGAGTGATAGAAACAATAGCATTACTCACATCATTTCCAACCCTAATGAAGTGCATCAGTTACACTCCCACAGCAACCTGGAGAAGGAAGAAGAGGAAAGTCTGCTGGTGTAGCCTAATAAGGGCTTTGTGAGAGAATCAGAATCAACATGTCCTACTTACAGTTTGGGGACTGAGGTCTGGGGTTTCTATATGTGCTCAGCAACCCAGTGCGGGAAGAGAGAGAGAAGCACAGATGTGTTTATTTTTTGTATTTTTCTAGCCACCTCCTCTTCCAGAGTCATCCTTAACATAATCAGTTCAGGTAGAGGGAAGGTAGGAACAAAATCAAAGGAGGAAGTTTACCAACAGCTGTTTTGAAATTTGAAGAATACACTTTGTATTTCATTCTAAATAACTGGTGACACCAAAAAGACAGAGGAACAGGACAGAGCTTCTTGAGTGCAATTCTACAGCCAGACTTCCTGGAAAGAGGAAGAGCTGGATCGACTTCATGCCTGTGACTGTAAAGGCAGCACCTGCAAATAGAACCAATGAAAGGAAACACACCCTCTACAATTTGATTATTTCCCACCCAAGACCACCTCATTGGAAAATCCTAGGCTTCAGAATCTGTAATCCTTGACTTTGTGTGAGATTGAAATAATTCAAAATTAATTACTCACTTCATACTTACAAAAACGCTTCACCGCTGCTTCATATAATCTTGACCTTTCTGTTATAATGTTACAAAAAAGAAAGACAAATGTAAGCATTAAAATAAAAATTAAAATGAACATCATGCATCTTAAATGTATTGAAATAAAGCAAAACTTTTCGTAAAGATGTTGGTGAAATCATAGTGTTCTGTGTTGAATCAGCACTTTATAAACCTCCATCCAGCTCAAGAATTTGTATGCTTTGTACATCTATTCCTTTTCAGCAGAAAAGCTTTCCCAATATTTTTGATTGAACCATCATAACTTCTCCATAGCATTTCTACTTAAAATTCCCTTTCCTCACATTGAAAAAATAATCACGTAGCTTAATTTTTTTTTTTCCCACTTCTTGCCACTAGAGCACCATTAGCTTCATAAGAAGCTTGGAGCTATTCAGTTTGAATGTTCTCAAGCAAAATTGTGCAGAAGGCTCCTCAGTTTGCATTACCCCTTCCCTGAGTGTCTGAGCTCCCCAACATCAACCCAAACTTTTTGCAGCAACCTGTTGGTGTTTCTGTTTATTATCATGCCTGATGTTACAATACACCCTCCCTTAAGAAAGGCAGCGTTTAATTGACCAAACAAGAAAAACAAATGCTTCCCCAAGGCATAAATTCCATGAACTGTTTGGATGTTTTCTATGAAGCTAACAAACACTTCTGTCAGTATTTGGAAGACTTAGACACTGGTTTTTGAATGGACTGAAGCAAAGAAGAGACAGCATTAATTGGATTTTACAATTTCAACAAGTTTAAAGACATTCCAGGGTAAATACTACTTGTTTTATAACATTGCTTATATAATAAAGGAATAAAGGAAGTTTTTAAGATAGACTTTATACTCTGATTAAAATTAATTTTTATTTATATTAATACAGCTAGAATAACAGAAAAAATATGTGGTTATATTTCAGACTTACAGGGAAGAGTGTCAGGCCTGCTCTTGAAACCTTCTTTTTAATATATTTGTATTTAATGTATCCCTGCAAACAGACTACATGTGGAAACACTAAGTGCAGCTTTATGGACTTTTGAGGGCTCAGTGCAGCTGCAAGGTTGTAATCCACAGATGATCCAAACACAGGAAAAGAAATGGATTCAGTTTTTAATACCAGCATCATTTACTGACTTCATGCTGGTGTAGTGTAGATGAACACAAGACTATAGAGAGGAGGACTAATTCTTGTTCTTTTCAAACAAATGAAAAACATTAAACCAGCATTTTCATGGACAGAAAAGAAAAAAAAAACAACAACAAAAAAAACCCCAAAAACCCACAACCAAACAGCACAATAACAAGAAGAAAGAAACTTTTCTATTTCCATGGTTTTAGCATTTAAAAAAACACAGGCAAGCTGGAATTCAGACTCCAAAGCCATTAAATTCTTGAGGATGCCTCAGCACTGTCCTTAGGATCAATGAATCAAAGGCATACCACTGTCTCACAGGCAAGTTCCCTGTTTTTCTCCCCCTGGCTCTTCCCCCTAAGGGGGAGCATTCCAGGAAGGATGTTGACTTTTCATAGCAACATGATACAGTGAGCCTGGAAGGAAGAGATACCTGACTGGGACAGGTTTGGGTTACCCAAGAGCTGATGTTTCTCTCATCATATCTGAAATGATCTGTAAGTGCTCTGATGTGCATGATTGCCTGAAAACTGAATGCTTAATGGACACAGTCAAAATATGAAGCATATACTTGCAATTTCAGCTTGATCAAACCCAGGGAATAAAGTTCCTAATGCAGGAGTTAATTCAAATACTACTCAGACCATATTCAAAAAATGAATAAGGAATAGCAATCTGTGTTGCCCAATCTCTACAGTGCCAGACGTATTTAATTCTAATGAATGGAGTTATTTTGAATCCTGATTTCCCTAAAATGATTTAATTATTTCAGTTTATCAATTGCTTTTAAGCTCCAAGCCATGTTCTACCAAGGTATAGTTGTGGCAAGAGGTTTAGTGGCATAAACTCTTGGATACTTTGGACATCTGCAACCAGCTGTGAAAATAGTTTTTAATAACATAGGACTGCTGCAATCCAGGCCTGTTATGAACAGGTGAACATCTCCAGTTCAGCCACAAGACTTTGAACCCTTCCCTACTTCAAATATGTCCCATTTGACTGAATTTTTGGTTGAGAAAAGAACTTTACTACTTGGTCTGTAGATGGGTATCTACTGGAAAATCTGATAAGTCAGCTAGTCTTCATTTTGGAGAGGCTACTGAGCATATTTCCTTAGAAGATGATCAGTTTAAGCAACATTCCTTTAAATTGCCTGAGTTTAAACCCACAGACCTGAAAACTACATTATCCTTCTTGACTGCACTGTGAACTTCTCAGCTGTGCCTGAATAATTTAGGTTTCTCAATACTGCTCATTTTTGACAGAGTGCTAGAAAATACAGTCTTCTCACCTGGGTTTTGGTTTTGAACAAAATCAAAATTTGAGGTCAGGTTTTGCCCTCAACCTTTTTCATATGCAGTTGAAAAAGGTGAACTGCATATGAACTACATGAACACCTCATGCTTCTACATAGATTCACTCTGAAGGAGAAAATAACCTTCAGAACTCTGAACAGAATTTGAGGGGCAAAAAAATACTCATATTAAAGGCAAGAAAACACTCCTTCACAAATCTTTATCAGGGAGTTAACTCATAATAAATATCCAGAATTTATAAGATGCAGAAAAAAGAAACCTTGAATAATTAGGGTTTCTTGTTATTGGTTACTAACTAGAAATTAACAATGCTATTAAAATACTGCTTTGTTTTCCATAAAAGATTGGCACATTAAAAAAAATAAATTAGTTTTATTTTGTATTACAGATTATGAGAGAATTGTGTTATTTACTACCTCAACTCTTCAGCAGTAAAAATTAGATTTTATGTATTAACAGGATACCCAGAATCTTACAAATTTTAGTTCAAAGGACTGTGTATCATAAAATTCAAAGCCAAAATTGCTCTGCTTAGAATTTTCCTTCTTTAAAATTATCAAGCAATCCAAATTAAGAAACCCAATCCTATGCAATCTGTGTGACCAGCTGGCACAGGTATGCAAACAAATGAAGAACAGAAAGCAAAGGCTAATAATTTGAACCAAATGTAATTAATTATTGAATAATTAACCTTGATACTAATAGTATCAATACCAAGAGACTCTTCTGCTCCCTTTGTAACAGATTGTAAATTCTAGGGTTTTATAGGAGATGACTTTGGGCCATATAATTTGGAATGTTCTCAAGGTCAGCTTGTCTGGCTTCAGAGTTTTGTGATATGAAAACAAAAAAAATTGCAAAATTTGCAATCTAATTCAATTTTGAGCTCAGATCACATCTCCCAGAGGATATATGTGTTCAGATCTACCAAGTTTTTGGCTGCAATTTGCATGCAATTAGAAAACAAGCAAGTGAAAAAAACACTCTGCAACCTAGCTGCATGAAGGTCTCCAAAAGAGTTTCCAGATTTAAGGGAAAAACCACTTCATCAATATAGCAAATCTTTTAATTTTTTTTCAATTTTTTTTCAATTTTTTTTTTTTTTTTTTGAGGAAAAAAAAAGATAGCGTTGCTGTGTCATGAACAGGATGTTGAACAAAGATGTTTTAGCTGTAGTAGTGGTGTAGATCTCCCACCATATCTATTAAGTAGTTATGCTTAGGTAGCAATAAAAATGAGGGCTGGACCATTATTGATTATGGAATGAAGGCCAGACTGAAGTCTGAGCAGTTGGAGTAATCTGAACTCTGTAGACTGCTGGATGCTCCTCTGTGGCACAGAGTACAAGCTTCGAGTTTAATGGAAGGAGGAACTATAAATAACACCTCTTCTACTTCATCTCAGCCTGGATAAGTGCAGCCACCACAGCAAACCAGTACTATATCCACCTGAAAATGCTGACGAGATAAATACTGCAAGATACTCGGGGTATCTTTTTAAGAATTTGTAGCTACAGCTTATTTGACATTGGCAAAATTTGGCACAGGCACACAAAAATGCTATAATTACTTTTGTATCTGATTTTACTAGAAAATAATCTTCATCACATTCTTTCCCAAATGCTCTCTATATCTCTTTCCCTTGCATCATGAAGATTTTACTTCTGTTGTTGTCATATTCAAAGATAATAACTTGCTTTGCTGTATCATCTACTACATGAAACAGTTTGAAGTCATGTCTTCTTTATTTAATTAAAATGCATATGTATCACTATCAAAGGACTTTTTAAGTCTATGAGCAAATTCTGACTGAGACATCTGTGTGCTTCTGCAATCTCACTACCAGGAGAGATACGTGCAGAAAAATAGGTATTTCTCCAGAGAAATCTGTGTCCCTTAAATAATGCCAATTTGATTTTACACAATTTAAGCTGCATATTAGTCAGAGTGCAGCCTGCAGAAAATTATTATGAATTGAAGAAAAAAGCTTGTGATGTCATTTCTACACCCTGAAGTGTCTGAAAATCTCTCTTCATGTCTCCCTTTTTCACCTGAGCATTGAGAATATACAGGAGTTTTAAAAGTCTCAGCAAAGGACCTTTTTATTAATAATACAGACTGACTAAGCTTATGGAGACAGTTACAGGCGTTTAGTTAACTACAGCATTATGATTAAACATCCAGAATATGAAAGCTGAAGTGTGGTGTTCATATAATTGTGCTACTGGCTTAAGACTTGATATTAATCCAAGATGTTTCACCTGCCAAGGGCCAAAAGCATATCTAAAATCACATTTCAATCTCATCCCACAGCAAGATACAAATAAATAATGTGTCTCATAAAGTCATCTAAAGAGAAGCTGATTACCATAACTGGCTGCATGTTCCTTCTTTCACTCATACTTTGATGATGTAATCAATAATAAAATGTTTAAATCAATAATTTTGAAGCTGTGAGTTCAAAGCCAACACCAGAGGAGGAGATGCTGCAGGCTGTGCAATGCCAGAGATCCATTTTCATAATATTTGTGTCCTGAATTTATAGATCAGCACATTTTGAGCGAAAATCCACAGGA